TAAGGAGGGACCGGTCCTTGGAAAAGGACATCTTGCTTGGGAGGGTGGAGGGACAGTGCAGGAGAGGAAGGCCCTCTATGAGGTGGATTGATTCCATGATTGGGGTAATAAGGATGGGTGTATCGAAGAAAGTGTGATTGGCACAGGACAGAGCAGAGTTTAGGACTATTGTACATAGGGTCACTATAAGACGCAAGCGACTCGACGGCACATAACAACAACAACAACATCTTCCATAAGGGAGTTCTGATGGCCTAGGGGTAATAATCCGTTCTGCAACCCCAAAGACACTCAGTTCTAATGCACCATTTGCTCCGCGGAAGAAGGATGGGTATCCACCTGTAGCTTCATGGGAGAAAGATGGATAATCTCCTCCTGTGTGATTACTGCTTCTGAAAAACCTGCTGGAGAGTAGTTTCTGACTTGATGGTACACAACAACAACAACAACATCTTCCATATTGTTGTCAAGGCTGTAAACCTTTATGAGAGAAGACTGCCTTATCTCTCTTCATTAGAGTGGATTCAAACCATTACCGTTTGGTTAGCAGCCTACTATATCATGCTCTGTGCTACTAGGGCTTTTTGAAACCTATGGAGTGATTCTGCTGCATCTTATACGGTTGCTTTGAGCTTGAATCAACTAGACAACCAACAGCAATGTTCTGAATATATTAACTTGACTTCACGAATACTTGTAATGTGTATTTCTCTACCTCCAATTGCCAAAGCCTTTTTTGTTAAAGCTATGATAATGCCATTATTTATCCTCTCTTATTGGATATAGGGAGCTCTTGTGGCCTAATGGCAAGAAGGTGTGCTGAAATCTTGAAGGCACGTGGTTTGAATCCACCAGATGTTCAGAGAGAGAAGGATAGATAATCTCCTCCCATATGATTAACTGTCTCTGAAAACTTGCTGGAGGGTCATCTATGGGTTGGTCCTGACTCTACAGTACACAACACAACAACAAATGGATATATTGTTTCTAAAGCTAATCTTTTACCCTAATGCGCAGGAAAATGTTGAAGGAGAAAACTGTGATCGCTGTAAACCAGGATTCTTCAACTTGAAGGAAAGAAACCCCCAGGGCTGCTCTGAGTGCTTCTGCTTTGGTGTGTCTAATGTCTGCGACAGTCTTTCTTGGCCTGTCAGCCAGGTGGGTGACGGTGTCCAGGAACAAGAATTTGATTTGTTGGTTTATTTACTGTACCTGAGATGATGTTGTGGAGTGGCTCATAAGCTGTAGGGCTGACCCCAGCATGTCTTCGCAGTGTGTCCATTCACTCAGAAAGGCAGCAGCACAGACCAAAGGCTGAAAGTGTCCTGAAGTTTTTTTATAGGCTATGTTTATCCCCATTACTCATTTCTGTATAGATACGTTCTTTGTCTACTGTAGTGACCATGTGACAACATGGTATTGCAGAATGCATCTCATTTAAATGCCTTGAAAGCATGACAAATGCATTGAGTGGTGGGGTCAGATCTTGCTCCACTTCCTCTAATAACTTCTATGACCAGAACAGCTCACCAAGTGACAGGATCAGGCACAATTTTCTGAGTTCCAAAAAGCTAACAGGGGACAGAGGTAGATCATTGTAATGAGAATGATGAGCACACCAACAGGTGGTACAGGGGTTATGAGGGACACTTAAGCTACCCGTGCTGTCTGGAGAAGGAGTTCTAGGTGATGAAGTAGAGGGTCCTACTTGACCAGATAATTATTTTCCTTCTCTGTGTTCTTAAGTCGTTTGGGCCTTTAATGGAATACTGAACCACAATCCTACTTTGTTCTGAGTCAGCTATATCTTGATCTCACTATCTCCAGGGCTTCATAAATGGCCAGGCTCAGAGATAACATTCCTAAAAAGGAATCCATTTCTTTTCTATACAAATAAACAATATCTTTCATTTTGGTAGTATGTATTGATAAAATTTTCACATAATCTCTTTTCTTTCTATGACCTTTCATATGACTGCCCTTACCTACATGTGTGGCTGTTGGACTTGCCTGTAACATGACTCTCCTCATCTCAGGAGACCAGCCTTCAACATGGTGGGAACTGGTGGGAGGCTAGTCCCTGACTCTCCTTCTCCTTCCTTCCCATTGTATCAGCACCTGAGAATGAAGGCATATTCCCACACCCAGTGGCCATCGCAATGGAATGGATAGAATCTGGAGATTATTTCTGTGCATTTCCAACATTTAGATAGAAGGCTGGGTAACAAGAAAGGGAACGTCAGATTAGCAAATGATATTTTACTCAATGCATTGATTACATTCTGTGTTTTTTCTAATCTGAAATATGGGTCGATGGTAGTTATACAATTTTCCTATTATTTATTTAGATTTGAGGGATACATTTGATTCATTTTCAGGTTTTCTTGGTCCTTTGACAAAAAAGAAGGATCTTAGGTTGTGTGATTCCATAATCACAATCAAGCTAATTTTTTAACTAGATGAACTGTATGAATCTATCTCTTCATTTTGAGCATGACAGTCCTAGGCTGGGTAAAATCTAAAATCTAAGGTAGTAACTTCTAGTTTTTGTTCTAAAATTCAAGATTGCTTTTTTTTTTTTTTAAGGTCAAGGATATGTCTGGATGGCTGGTCACGGACTTGGTCAGTTCAAATGCAATCCAGTCCCAGCAGGTTCCCCATGGAGGACTTCATCAAATTAGCATCAACAATTCCCATATCATGCAAAGACTAACTTCCAAGTATTACTGGTCAGCTCCTAAGGCTTACCTAGGGAATAAGGTAAGCACATCTCTGGGGAAAGTGGCATCTCAGACAAATCTCAGGGAATAATAATAAAGTTCTATTTGCAACTTAGAGTAGCTTTATTGCCCACTGAGTATTTGGCAGGAAATTTTACAACATTTGCTTACATTTCATTCAGTGTGTCCTTTTTAATCCTTTTCCCATTTTTTATTTTATCCTTAAGTATAAATTCTTACTCTTATTGGTCTGGTTGATAAAGTCTTCTTCCCCGCCAGTGACAGACAGTTTATTTTCTTTCTCTGGGTTCTTATGTCATTTGGGCCTTTAATGGAATATTGAGCCACAATTCTGCTTTGTTCTCAGTCAGCTATATCTTGATCTTACCATCTCCAAGGCTTCATAAATGGTCAGGCTCAGAGAAAACATTCCTAAAAAGGAATACATTTCTCTTCTGCACAAGTAAACATGTCTTTCATTTTGGTAGTACGTATTGATAAAACATTCATGTAGCCTATGACCTTCAATATTAATGTCCTTGCCTACATGTTGTGACTGTTGGACTTACCTGTAACATGGTTGTGTTGAGATGAGTCCCAGTGACCACTTCTGGCTGAGAGAATATGATTTCCGCTATGTTGTTCATGCTAACTTTTAATCATTCGTTTCAGCTGACTTCTTATGGAAGATTCCTAAAATACACAGTGTCTTACGATATTCCAGTGGAGGCAGTGGACAGTGACCTAATGTCTCATGCTGATGTTATCATTAAGGTGATTGTTTTTATATTGAGCTTCTTTCTTCCTGGGCAGTAATCTGAATAAGGTGGCTCAGGAAGGCAGGCATAGTAATCAGGAATCATGGCTGAGTGACCAATCAACATTGCCTTACCTCTCGTGGACTCAAGGACTCTATGACAACAAGCATTCTGTCTTTGTTTCAAGAATTGACACAGGACAGCACAAGTTTTGCTTCCCTCAATCACCATGGTTTGCCTATATTTTCATATTTTAAAAGGAAATTTCACAACTAATTCTATCCTTTTAAACACCATTTGTTCCCTCCTGCCACTTTATCTTCCCAGAAGTTGTTCCCTCCTGCCACTTTACCTTCCCAGAAGAGTAGACTAAGCCATGCTGGAAACAAGAGGATCAATGATGTGCTTTTGCTTTTGGGGGTTCCTCTCTCACCTTCTCTACCTCTGTTCTGCCCTTTCTTTCACCAAAGACACATCTCCCCAGAGCTTGCTACTCCTAGATAGTCTCCCAAAATGTTAGTGCCATAAGGTCTGCAGTGCTTTTGGGCAGAAGTGGTCTCAGTCACACATCTCCAGTTTCTGCACTCCTCCCCTTACCTCCTGCCCAGTCCTACAGCAGCTGAAAGCTGTGCACATTCAATGACTTTTGTTAATGGCAATTCTAGGAAAGCTGGAAGTCTACATCCTTTTTAAACTTACATTCTTTAGTTAAAGATTAGGGATGACAGTTTGGTTTCTTGATGAAAGTTCAGATGACTGTATGACTTTGTCTCTTTTCTTAAACCTCAGCACAGTACACCCTCTTTGGATTCTCCATCTGAATCCCTTTTAGAGAAATACAATGGAGCAACTTGTCTGATAACCCTAGGCAAACAAGTAGAAATTCCACCCATCACCCGTCCCACCACAAACACCTAAGCTTAATCATACTATGTTGATGAATTTTTTTTTTAAAACCCTCTTGGTTTTCTTTTTACTTATTAAATTGAATTATGCATAATTCTTGCTTTTAAATATCAGGGAAATGGGCTGACTTTAAGCACACAGTCCGAGGGCCTGTCGCTGCAGCCCTATGAGGAGCACTTCAATGTGGTGAGACTTGTGCCTGAGAACTTCCGAGACTTTGCCACCAAAAAGGAGATAGATCGTGACCAGCTGATGACCGTCCTTGCCAATGTGACACATCTCTTCATCCGTGCCAACTACAACTCTGCAAAAATGGCTCTTTACAGGTATGTTGTGAATAGCAAGGAAAATCTTTGACATTATTGTTAGACATGTTAAAAGTAATATATTTTACTCTTATTATCTTAAAGATACACTTAATGAAGTCAGATGCCTTACAATATTATTTTCATTAATATATTACTGAAGACATAAATATAGTGTTTATGACAAGCCTATCTTAAAGGAGAAATATTTGCTGTCAGGATCAAAAGGGTTCTGAGAAACACTTGATCAATGAACAACTGTCTGGATTCCTTTGGGGTCTGGTTCTGACAATTCTGATGTTAATGGTTTCCAGTTTTGTCAGAGAAAATTTGTGCATCTTTGGTCATTTTGTGTCTTTGTAAAGGTCCAACTCTGGCAGTGTTGAGCTGACAATAAAAGTTTGATGCAATGAAAGCATTTTAAAAATTATGCATTTAAGGAAAAACTATTTGCAGCTGGTTATTTGAAGATGCAATAGAAGTTCCTGAAGTGCTTCAACTCAAAATCTTTCAACTCAGAATCTTTCCCCGAACTATCTACGGACAACGTACATTGTTGCACCAAATCCTGAAGATGTCTTGTTGAAGGGGAATGGTGCGATGGGATCCAGAGAGACTTGAGCTGTGAAAACTTTTAGTGACAATCACCATTTTGTTTGAATTCTATCTTTTAAGAATTTTTTTTAATGATTTTAATGAACATTTACAGAGATTTTGGATTTCCATTCATTCATTGCTGCATTTCTCTCCCTGCCCAGCCCTCCCCCCTCCCCCAGTTTGCTCCTCTCTTTCAAAAGTAAAAGAAACACTCCCTCCCTGGTACACAATCCCCCCCGCACCCCTCCCACCGCCCCAAGTACATTCCACTATGCAACCTTAATTGTGGACTCTTGTGATAACCATAATACCTTATCATATGAATGATTTTTAAGTATCTAAGTCATATATCATGTCTCTTTGCAGGCTGGATTCTGCCTCTCTGGACACAGCAAATCCTAATGTTATAGACTTGTCCCTGGCTACTGATGTGGAGCAATGCGAATGTCCACTGGGATATTCAGGCATCTCTTGCGAAGTAAGTTTTTTCTCTCCAACTATCTACTTCATTTCCATTTTTGCTTATACATGCACTGAAGGCAGGTAATGATACACATTTTATTTTGTATTTTTAACACTCCGTATTTGGTTCAGACTGTTCTGAGCTATAGCACATTTGAGATGCTTGTAAGAATATTGGAAGTCATGCTGTTTCAAGAAACCTGATACCTCTGTGGGTGGGCTGGGCACATGGAAATTACTTGACTTAATGCTGCTGTCTTGCAGAAATGCAAAACCCACACTCTAGATTTATTATCTGAATCCCTAAGGTATCCAGGGAAACTACTTCTCTGAATAGTCTGGACCAAGAATTAGAGGCTCCACCCCATTGTCACAACACCTTAGGTACAGTAAAACTCTACTCTGCTGAATGAAAAAAACCAAAAAACAAAAAAAAACCTCTTTCCTTGATCACTGAATTACCTATCAAACTCTCTATAGGAAAGCTGGATACCCATATCAATTTCATTTCTAAAGATGCTTAAACTTGATTTCATTTAAACATTTACAAATTACAAGCACCAAGAATATTGAACAGCTGTAGATCTATTTTTAGAAACTTTTGGCCCCAGGCTGTTTTGGATATGATATGGGTCTTAGAGTTGTGCACACCTGGCTTCCACACCTTCGGTTCTCTGGGCAAAGACCCAAATTGCTCTGTGTTCCAAATCCCAAGTCGATAAAGTAGACTATGCCGTAGGGCTGTCATGAGGATTAGATTAATTTCTTCGTGCTGGGTGGTTCTGTCTTCCTCACGGGTAGAGAAAGTGTCCCAGATTGGCCAAGTTACGTGTTCATTGCTCAGTCAGAGAAAGCACACCTGTAGAGCTTCCTTATCTGACATAGATCTGCAATTCCATGATTGATTTAGTGGAAACTTATCACGAATTTTAAATAAAATGGGGAGAATTCGAGAAAAAGAATTTTGATTGAGATACTAATTAAATGACTGAATGCTACTGCATTCTAGTTTAAGGATATTGTACTGGAATAACTGGGGTGAATATTGACTGATTACATTCATCATTAAGTTGTTTTGTGTATGTTTCTGCCTTTAAAAAAGACTATGGAAGTGGATTTTGGTGAGAGTTGCATGGTTCAACAAATTTACTAGAAATCGTTCAATTGGGCAGTTAAAACAAGTAATCCTCGTGGCATGTGATACTTCAATAAGGTTTTTGAGAAAGAAATCGTTTTCTCTACTCAATGGAAATTGAGCAGTTGACTTTTCTCCCTCAGTGGAAAGATGATTGCATAACCTGCTGAGTTACATTCACAGCATGACCAACCCACCCTTCTTTTGTAGACCTGCCTCCCTGGCTACTACCGCATGGACGGAATCCTCTTTGGAGGAATTTGCCAGCTGTGTGAGTGCCACGGCCATGCAACGGAGTGTGATATCCACGGCACTTGTTCTGTGAGTTTATTGTTGAGCTTTTAAATGTCTGTCTTCTCCTCATATGACTGTCTCCCACCCACACTACAGTCTCCTCCCATCCATATCACTGTCTCCCACCTGCACTGCTGTCTCCCACCCACACCACTATCTGCTACACATCCCACTGTCTTCCACACATCCCACTGTCTTCCACCCGTCCCATTGTCTTCTACTCATACTACTGCCTTCTACCCATTCCACTTTCTTCCACACATACCACTGTATTCTACACATTCCACTTCCATTTGCTGAGCAGAAGAGATGTGTAGCAAGTGTTTCTTCCTCAGGAAGATCATCCCAAGCCCTTCATACCAAAGGAGTGCTGTGGGCTTAAATTTATGACATAAAACTTTTCTTGTTTTTATGAAAAAAATGTTACTTTGGTGGAAGTGTAAATGTTGTTGTTGTTGTTGTTGTTATGTGCCGTCGAGTCGCCTGCGACTCATAGCGACCCTATGTACAACAGCCCTAAACTCCACTCTGTCCTGTACCAATCGCACTGTCTCTGACACTCCCATCCCTATTATCCCAGTCACTGAATCAATCCACTGCCGGTTTTATCGTTAACAATGACCAAGACATAAAGTTTCCTCCTAGCCCAAAATACTTTAAGTATATTATTTTTCCATGCTTAGGTTTTATAAGCATATCTCATTTTATGGAACTTCTGAAATACTGTATATTTTTTTAATACCGGCTTATTTATAAAATTCATATACATTGTTTTTCACACCAGATCTTTCCCATTTGCTTCACCCATCTCTCCAAAAATGACTGGAGCAGCACATCAACAGAGAACTGCCAGAAGTCCAGGCTGGGTTTAGAAGGGGTCGTGGTACTAGGGATATTGTAGCTAATGTTAGATAGATCTTAGCTGAAAGAAGGGAATAGCAGAGGAATGTCTATCTGTGTTTCATTAACTATGCAAAGGCATTTGACTGTGTGGATCATAACAAACTGTGGCTGATTCTTAAAAGAATGGGAATTCCAGAACACTTGATCATTCTAATGTGAAACCTATACTTGGACCAGGAGGCAGTCGTCAGAACAGAGCAAGGGAACTGCATGGTTCAAAATTGACTAGGTCGTATGCCAGGGATGTGTCCTATCTCCATACCTTTTCAATCTGTATGCAGAACAGATTATCGGGGAAGCTGGGTTCTATGAGGAGAAATGTAGGGTCAAGATTGGTGGAAGATCTATCAACAATCTGCGTTATGCAGATGACAAAACCCTTCTTGCTGAAACTGAGGAGGACCTGAAGCACCTGCAGCAGAGGGTCAAGGACTTTACCCTCCAATATGGATTGAGACTCAATGTCAAGAAGACAAAGATTCTCACCATGGACCATTTGACAGCATCAGGATGGATGGTGAAGAGATTGAGATTGTGCACAGGTTTAGTTTGCTTGGTTCCACAGTCAACACTCTTGGCACCAGAAGCCAGGAAATTAAAAGGCATATTGCCTC